CATGAGGCCCTGGGTTTAATCCCCAGTACTGCAAAAACAACAACAAAAGATCAAATCATTGCCAAGACTGATGTTTTGGCCAATCTACTATTAAACTGCCTATTTGAAAATGGCACTGGAATAAAATTTTAAAAAGTATACATTGTTTACAATGTTGTCAAAAACAGAATCATTCAGAAGTTAATAGTAAAGAGACGAACAAAGCTCTGTCAGGCTAAAATCTAATATCTATTTGGCTAAAAGCAAAAGAAACCAAATGAAACCAAAGCAATCCAACCACCTGCCCCCCTGCAAAAAATAAATAAATAAATAAATAAAATAAAAAAGAAAGAAAAAGAAACAAAATAGACATGGCTGTATTAATATAAGACAAAATTAAAAGCTAAAATCACTAAAAGTTACCAAACAAGATGCTTCCCACTGGTAAAAGTTACAATCCAAAAGGTTTAAGCATCTACCACAATGCCCTGGAAATACATAAATCCAAAACCCAAATGGGAAATGTTAATAAACTTTCAGAAACTGATAAACCAAAAATAAGTAAAATACTAGATATGTGAAAAACCAATTAGTAGGCTTGGAGAAATGTGCACCCAATAATCAAGTGAACAAATATTCTGTTAATTCATTAGAAGCTTTAAATAGGATAAGAAGTGGACACTATAGACTATTCATAGTAGTAAAAAGAGTAAAAGCAAAAAACAAAAACAAAACCAGGAGAATAGGAAATGTAACTTAAGGCATGCAGCAAAGTTTAAGAAGATAATACTGTGCATAATTTTCCAACAATGATTTTTTTCTTTATCTACATGGCATAGACTTTTCAGAAAAAAAAATTGTGAATTGTGAAATTCAGCACAACAGCTAAATACTCTAATTGAGGACAACCTGTCCCTACAATGCAAAAAGTATAGGAGACTTTGAACAAAATTTTTGATGTACAGATAGATAATTGGGATTTATATAAACCATAAAAAAGAAAGAGAAAAAAGGTAATCTTCCAAATTACTTATTTTAGGCCAGCATAAATCTAAGATTAAAATTTAGCAAAAATAGTGATAAAACAGAAATATAAAAGATCACATGTAATTTTAAATTCCCAAGTTCAATAGCAGCAAAGCAAATATACCAGTCCATTGAAGGAATAACATTATGACAAGTAGAGTTTATTCCAGTAAAGTGATTCAATATTCAAAAATCTGATAACATTAATGGCATAATTTACCATATTAATGAGCTAATATATCATCATCTATGTAGATGGAGGAAGTAACATTTTATAAAATTCAACATGCACACTGAAAACCTTAGTTATAAGCTAGGTATAAGCCCTATCTATAGTAAATGTTATGTATAATGGTAAGATGTGCAAAATGTACTGACTATAGTCAGAAATAATAAAATAATGTTTATAATCATCACTGCTACTGCACAGGGGGAAAAAAACAAGTATTAATCTTAGTAACACGAAAAAAACTGTCATTAATTGCAGTCATAATTATCTGTCAGGAATATCCAAGAGAATCATCAAAAAACTATTAGAACTARTACGAGAGAAAAGTAAGACAGAAACAAGAATAAAAGTTGATAAATCTCCAAGAGAGCAATAAAAGAATCATTAGAAAAATGGCTATGAAAAAGTAGAGCTGCTCATAAAAGCAATGAAAATTATCAAACAATAGTACAATAAAATGAGATGTTTAGYCAAACTCTGTGATCTGAAAAGTGAAAGATGAGAGTATTGGATGGGATAATAAATGAAGTTGTTAACTCCTCACAACTCCATAAAATGTCAAATACAATTTGTCATCGCACTTCACTACATGTTTTTAAAATTTATACACAAGAGAAAATATGGAGAAAGATAAAATTTTGACTGAAGAGAAYAACATTTTGGGAGTAGTTTATCAGACTGATATTCCAGTGTCACCAAACTAGAGTTGTGCAAGAATTAAAATATCGGACTGGGGCTGTTCAGCGCTTGCCTTGCATGTGTGAGGCACTGGGTCCAATCCTCAGCACCACATAAAGATATTGTGTACATCTACAACTAAAAAAAATATTGAAAAAAAAAAGAATTAAAATATCAATGGAACAGAAGAAAAGATCCAGAAACAAGTATGTGTTTATATGGCAGTTTTGTACATGATCAAGTTTGCATGTCAGATGATAAGGTTAAGGTTGAAGATTAAAAAGCTGTTTTGGGAAAATAGGACTTCTATGTAGAATTTGTTTTTAGAAGTTCAATTTTGACATTATACTAAATAATTTCTATGTGAATTAAACTGCTAGATGTAGTTTGGAGGTAGAAAAGCCATCTCAAGAATGTTGAGTTGGAAGGGGACACATACAAAGGCACATGCCTGAAATCTCAGCAAGCTGGGAGGCTGAGACAGGAGAATTGAAAGTTTGAGGCCAGCCTAAGCAACTGAGCAGGACCCTAAGCGACTTACCAACATCCTGTCTCAAAATAAAAAAAATAGGAAAGAGCTGGAGATGTAGCTCAGTGGTAAAGCATCCCTGGATACAATCCCCAGTACCAGGAAAAAAAAAATTACAGTTGAAGAGTACGAGTAAATGACAAATAAATAAACAAATAAACAAATAAAAGTAAATAAAAATTTCTGTAAGACAAAACGCCATAGATAAAATTATAAGAATTACAAGATGAGTAAAAGACCAGGAAAATAATATGTATAAAGAGCTCTTACTAATTAATAAGAAAAAGGCAAACAGCTCACTAGGAAAATCAAAACAAATTTAAAGAAACACAAATGGCTAATAAATATACAAAAAAAACCCACTAGTTAGGAAAAAAGTCTAATATTAACTTTGGTTAATCTTTTTAGTTCATAATATCAAAACTTTTAAACATCGGTAATGCCCAGGACTGCTGAGGATGAGGTCAACAGAATTTTGTAGATAGTGCTGGTAGTTTAAGTTGGTGTAGGCTTTTAATGAGAGAAATTTGGCAGTCTTATGAAAACTTAAAGTGCACATACTGTACTGGAAAATGACCCATTTCAAAGGGATTCTAGCTGTGTCTACATGCATGTTTTTTCTTGGTCATACTGCAAAAGCTATCCAAGTCAACAAGAATGGCCTATGAATACATGTTTCTGGATGGGCTCCATAAACCACTCATAAATATAGTTTTCAAGGTTTTATTACATTACACAGTTACAGTCATTTTACAGAGTACTTGAAACTAGTACYGTGGCCTGACTCAAAGGCTAACTTCCAAAGAGAAAAAGAGTAAGGCCTGGGCTAGATTGTCTTACACTTTGTGGTTACTATTTTGGGCTGTGTAAAATCCTTTTGCCAGAGGAGGAAGTTGCTGACTTTTTAGAAAGTCTCATCTTTTAGCTAAAAGGCACTTTGAAGTAATGTTAAAACATTTATAATTTCAGCCATATTTAATTAACTTCTCTCTACTTTAATCCTACAATTCCGTCTCCAAGCATCTAATTTAGAGAAGTACTCCCATGCAGAAACTTGCACAAGAATGTTGACGGTGGCATTGTTTTTAATATTGAGAAAGCTAAAAACAACAAATTAACTAGGAAATGATTCAATAACACCATTATGTCCATATTATGGAATACTATGTGACGGTTAAAAGGATGAGTAGAGGTACATTTATACAAATATGGGAAAATTTCCAAATACACTTAGTGAAATAAGCAAGTTACATAAAAATACAAAATATACAATCCCATCTTCATGAAACAAAGCAAAATAAAATCCTTACGGAAATAATAGTATAAAAATTCTTTCTTAACAAGAATCAGRAATTATAACCAGCTAGACAGAAGTTCTCCCTGGAGCAGGGTAGGGGCTTCCACTTTTTATTGATTTCTTCTTCTTTTTTTTCCTTTAAAATGTTTTAATGAAGGAAATATAGTYGAGTACAACATCTACAAAAATGGGAAGTTTTGAAAATTAAGGCTTACATTTACTGAGTATGTATATATAAATGTTTACCCTTAATGTTTAAAATTTATATTTGTGTCCTAGATATGGTCTTTTTAACAACGTTGTTTTATCTAAATGATGTAAATATTAAATKTTTGAATTTTCAGTTTTCTTTTAGATGTATACTACCAGAGAGGGGCACAGTCTAAGAACCAATTTGAAAAAGACTATTCCAATTATCAAATTTAGTAAGTTTTCATTATGAAAATTCCCACCGGCAAGCTCTGGCATTTAATGATTAGGAAAGTTAACAAGAAGTATTACCCACAGAATGAATCAATAGAAAAGTAAAATTCACTGTCTAATATACAGTGACCTTTATGTTAAGCAAAAAAAAAAAAAAAAAAATGGAGTTCATTAGTGGAGGTATCTTGTTTTTCAAAGTGTGCAGTATAAGAATATATGCTGAGATAATGACTTTGAAGCAAATAGAAAAATACAGTGACAATTTCTTTGGGTCTCTTAAAATTGACTTGTGAATCATAGTAAGATACATAACTTTTTTTATATAAAACTTTGTGAAGTTTATGAAAGCATGTTTCCTCTTTCTTGGTCCCATTAGGACATATCAGGTATATCAAAGTAAAGCTAAAGGATAAGTCAACGGACACATAGTCAAACCTAAGTGTGGTTTCCTAAGTACATGAAACAGTGGCTTTGATGAATCATATGACAGTTCCCTAGGGGACAAAGGCCTGTTAGAATCAGCATAACCATGAGCAGGAGCAAAAAGAAAACAAGAATTTTACCAAAGTTCACTGACATAAAAGGATGTGACTTTTAGTAGRCTCTGTTTCTGAGTCACTTGATGTTTTTCTTCTATGACGGATGAGGAGCTCCAAAATGATGCTCTCTGTGGCACATGCGCACGGTGGCTGGCCGTGCCACCCATTTTGGTGGTGAATGGTGCAAGAACCAATACATACTTTTGGACTGTTGTTCTCAGCGGAACGCCAGTACTTGGGATTTTTACAACACTCAAAGTAGCTCAAGTAGAAAAGAAAAAGTTCAAACCAGTCACCAGATCCAAAATTAGCATTTTATTCAGAACGCTGGGGGTCAGAGGTGTATCATTTATATTCTGGTACACAATACAGAGGCAAAGCTGTTGTCAGAAGTCTCTCCAGTTTTAAAAGCTTTTTTTGTTTTTTCATTTTTTTTTTTTTAAAAACACACACTTAGTAGTGCTACCAGTGTCAGGCCACCCCTTTCTTTACTTTTTCTTTCCTTTTTTTTTTGTTTTTGGTACAAATTATGTAAAACATTTGTGCTAAGAACTTTGCTCCCTCCCCAAAACAAAAAAAGAAAATAAAAAATAAAAAAAAAATTAAAAAATTAAAAATTGAGTATTCTAACTACAGCTCAACAATTGAATCAAATGTCACTTTGTTTGTAAATACTTTATCCATAACGAAAGATATAAACATGCAAAAAACCTGAATTCATTGTCCAAATAATACATACACATGTTCTGAAGTTTCTGCACTTCTCCATAGACTATGCCGATAAAACATTATGTACACATACCATTTTTTACAGTGAAGTGGAAAAAATACAGTAAATAAAAAAAGTGTACATGGATTAAGACCAAAATGTGTCTAACATTCTAGTTTATGAAAAAATTCAATTTTGCTACAAATTGGTGATATGAAAACTCCCTTTATTTGCAACCAGCTGCGTAAGTTTTTAAGATTTTTAGTGAAAAAAAAAATTCTAAAGTCTAAAACTAGAAGTAATATACATTTTCCAATCTCATGGTCTCATCCCCCAAGATAATAAAATCGATCGCTCCATGAGTTCGTTTTTTTTTTTGTTTGTTTAATTCTGTATTTTAACAAAAGCAAATGCAATGTAACAAAAGCGTGTTGAAGCATATCATGGTTGAACTTCCTGCTCCCACCACAAAATATTTTGTCTTTTACTTATCGTTTCAGAAATCAGTACCATTAAAGCCTTAAACATAAAACTAATTCCAATCTGAAAAAGGTACAAAAAGGCACATAAAATCCCAGTGCTTCTGTACTGTAAAATTCAAGTGTAACTGAGCTCAGTGTTTTTCCAAACAGTATTGGATCACTGATATTCCCTCTGAGCCCAAATTGGTTTGCAGCCTATGCCAAAAGCCTCCAGCAAGCACTGTGCTAGTAGACTACAAAGTTAAAGCCTAGCTTCTGTATGCTTTTTGGGAATATCAGTTGAAATTGTTTGTACTTGTCCAAAAACCAAGTTCACCCTGAAGTTCAGTCATCACCTCCACCGTACATGTCAGCGAGTTTCTTGAATCGTGGTCCCCAGTCGTTCAGGTAATCATAGTCCTGCTCTCCACCACTACTTGAGGAATTCAGGGAGCTCAAGGACCCAGCAGTGGAGCCACTACCTTCGTAGTCAAAGACTAAGAGGGAGTCATATGGCGGAGCTGTGGGATCATTGTCAGCAGCTTTAAGGCCCTGCAATGTGGAAAGAGAAAGGAAGAAAGAGTTAAGAGAGGGTTACAATTTGCAAAACCATAAACAGATGCTAAGGACTTCATGGTATTGAACACTTGGTAAGTTTCCATTTGTCAGATTACATTTTCAACACATAGAAACTGGCATTCTCACTGTTTTGGAAGTCATACGAAAAGTAGCTTGCTTCTTTCCTTTGCAAGAAAACAATCCTAAGGAGTGTAGGCTAGCATGCAAGACATAAAGTGGGAGGGAGTTAATTGGAGAACATGTTTGACAGACAGCAGAAATGAGGGCCAACTGCTTGAAGCAGATTAGAGGATCTTAAATAACACAATATATGGAACAGGACTGATAGACTGTAAAACAATCTCATTGAAATATAAAGTAAACTATATCATGGTAATTACTATAAACGGAATTCTCTCATTCAATAAACATAGAAAAATTACCCTTGCTAGCTAGGATAACTGGTGTGACTGTGTAATACAGTACTTGGCAAGACCAGTTTTGAATGAGTAATTTAGTGKTAGAACAGGTTATGTGAAGTTATATGAAATAATACAGAAAGGTTTTGAAACCATGTGATCCATGGACCCTAATCAGAATGAGGGTTAGGGGATTTTGAGAATTAACCRTTTGAACAAGAAGCATATGTAGGGCAAGGAGAAAGATAGATATGTTAGTGCCAAGTGGTCCCCGAGCCTCTAGCGGCTTGCAATCTAAGCAACAGGCATTTCTATAATATGAAGGGAATGACAAATAAATAACAAAACTGTGAATTCTAACCAAAAATCATCAGGATCCTGAAAAATTAATCTGTCTACCTTGAGGAGCTAGGCATTCAAAGTGGAGGTAGCTTTGCATTTATTTGACCCAAGTTTGAAAAGATATCAAAGAAAGAAGGAAAGTGACTCATTAAATCAGTTGTGTTATTAATGAAAAATAAAATGTGGAATTAATTGATAAATTATGAACAGGTATTTTTTTTTTTAATGGAGTAACTTCTACTTTTCCAAAGGCCCTAGAAAAATCATGATACAATACCTGTACATGATATAAATATTGGGGAGTGCAGAATCTTGTAAATCTAAATAACATGCCTATTCTAAATCTTAAAGAGAATTTAAGTAATAAAAAATAATAAATAATTATCATATATATTCTTAACTCTTGCAGATTCTTTTAAATATGTAATTTAAATATCTGCAGCTAATTTGTAATTCTGTACTGCAAAACCTTTAGGGACTTAATACTAAGTCCATTTGGAATTTTCTGTAATATTTTCTCAACTGCATTTTAGTATGCCAAGATATACCAATATTGGTCTTCAAGCAATTGTTCTCTTTTTATAATGCTGCTTTTCAAATGCGGTGGGCTTATGGCGACCTTACTTATCATCCAAGATGTACAGGCTGTCTCCTTGAGAGATCAAGCCTTCCAATCCACATGTATTTTGTGAGCATACATATGTGGTTTTTCTATGAACACTTGTTCATTTAGTCTTTCAAGTTCACGGAGGAGGAATAARGAAAAAGAGCACAAAAATTAAGGTCAGAGTCAGTGCCATCTAGCATTGAAGAGATCAGTTCTTAGATGACACCCCAGCTGTGGGAATTCAGCATTTCCTCATCTGCAACTGTAATAACAATAATCAGATTATATAAGACTAAATGAGATAAAGAGACTCAATGGCTCATCCTAGTTATCTGGCACTTGTAAAGTTCAAGGAGTACTGGCTGTTRTTATTWTWATTATTATTATTATTATTATTATTATTATTAATGTTTTAAGTTTAAAGAAAACTTTTTTGCTTTGGAATTTGAAAAAATAAAAAAAAATGTGAAGATATAATATTTTAAGAAATAAAATGCTGTTAGACTTCAATCAAAAATGTGAGTGCAAAGGACCCAGTATCAGCTTTCCCATCTCCAAGGATCTCTTACCATCAATCCTAACCATTAAATTAGGCACCGCTCTCCCTCATTTATAACTCAGAAAAAGCTGTATTAAATAAAATAAAGCAAGTCTTAAGCAAATGACTTCCACACAGAAAACCAATAAGTTTAGATAGGATTTTCCTTATCTTATTTTTAGAATAAGCTACAAAGCAATTCTGCTAAGACCAAGAACCACCACAGCCTACAATTTCCCAAAAATCATATAACTCCTTTCTGTGATTGATGGTGTTACTGTCCTTGGTGATTCACCACCCTTGTTTCCGTGGAGAGCACAAGCCCACACTGCCACAAGTTCCTCTCTGGAGTCAGAATTTACTTACTCCACCCCTCCTCCATCAGGCTCAGCTGGCTATGGGAGTGGCTTTGGCCAAAGAAATGTGAATAGCAGTGAGGAGTAGGAGCACATCTGGAGCTCTAATATCTTTCCACTTCTCTGTTTCCCTTCCCCAAGGAGAATGCCCTGCCTCAGATGGGGGTTATACTTCCCCATGGACTTTGCAATGAAGAAGACACATGATACTGATAGACTGCAGTTGACTTACAACCTGAGGAAGAAGTCAACCTTTGTTTCTGTAAGCCAATGAAACTTGGCATTATTAGTTACTGTAGACATAGCTGACCRAAAACCAAGGAATGCACCTTCATTCATTTTATTAGCTTATTAATTCAATTCATGGCATATTGGTTGAGTGTCTATGACTCTATAATGTGTGGAAACACAGCCTTTAATAAGCTCGATCCATTGCCTGACCTCTTAGAATTTACAGTCACACATGAGTATGTACCCATTTCCCATTTTCCCCAAAAAAATCTAGTAATTACAAATATAAGCAATAAGTGATTCCTTTAGTTTAGCACTGTCTAACATGGTCCTACCACACAAGAACTGGRCCTAAGAAGAATCTGACAGAAAATCAAGAAAAATCAGGGAAATTCCTGATAAGGAGAATGGATCCCTGAAAACAAACATTAAAATTTATCATGACAACTACTTTATAACACAGACAGTGAGACACTGGCAAAGGTCCCTGGGTTTAGGTTATTGACTTCATCACAATTTGATTTTTAAGTGAAAATACTCACAGAGCACTGCCCAAACCTTATAGTGTCAGCACCAAACTGGAAAAATGGAAAGGTTAAGATGAAAATTAGCTCTAAATAGTCAATGGCAGGGCCTCAAGCGTGTCTGGATTCAGAGATGGGGAAGTAATGACCGTTGTTCACGGTGTCCAGGGAAGAGACACTAGAAGCTGTGTGATCTTTACTGGAGTGTTAAAGACCCCAGGACTCTTCATCAACTATCTAAGCCACCTCATTTGAGTCCTTAAAATAGATTCTAATGCTGGAGATAATCTCCTATAAGAATCTGTTGGGATTCTTAAAAATATTTTTTTTATTTGATCATTTCTTTTTTCTGTTCCTGCATTGGTTTCTGGATCATCCTGGTAGTTTTTGCTTTTGTTTTCTTTTAGGAAAAAAAAACAAAAAACAAAAAACAAAACCAAAAAAGAGGTTAAGGTTAAGGCCATAAAAATCCATTAGCAAGAGATCACTGTGCCATGTGAGTGCATGGTACATTGTCTTAGGGCTTAATGATGATAGAAGGGCAAAGCCACTGAACTTTTCAAGAATTCTTCGGCAAACCATCTTTCTAGGCAGGAGAGGTTAAGTACTTTAAGTTCCTTCCACTTGGATGGCACTGATTTTTATCTGAGAATTTAATGTGACCCTTCTGAATGAGGTACTGCATAAATTCTTGGTAATATTTTGGTAATTCTAAAAAGATCACAGGCCCTCAGAAACTGACAGTCACAGGCATGCAATCAGACAGAATGTGCAGAATAAATCTGGGGACAACAGAACCTTCTGGTTCTCCCTTATGTGACTGCTTTATTTTTGATGTGGACACCTTCAAGAATGATGTACAAAGTACTTTTCACATGATGTATAAGTACTGTTACCAAATTTATAAACTAACAGCATGTGCTTCTCTAGGTTTGACTAAATTTAGCAAAGTATGCTCACTTCACCTTTCTTGGAGAGGCAGATCTAAAACTCTAGATAAATTTATCTGAATAAATTTTCTGTAGTTTGAGCTCCTCTGCAAAGTGAAAGAGCTGCCGTTGAATTCTTGCTGAGCTTATATTTATAGACTTCTGATCCTATGCTTTCTGGGTGGGGACATGCTTTTATGGGTACTATAAAAACCCACATTCTTCAGTGAAGAACACACAAGGGATACAAGAAGAAAGAGGCCTATTGATACCCTAACATTCTGTCTTCTACAGTCTTAGTGCCACTGCTTTGGCTTAGGTTCTCATTATATCCTGCCTGGACCAGAGCCTTCCAACCCGACTTGCTATCTCCAGGGCTATTTCTGCTTCTTTCCTAAAAACTAGCTTTGGTTTCTCTCTCAACTATGGATGTCACTTCCCCAGGCAAAACCCTCCCAGTGTTTTCTATGACCTATAGCAGAGTTTCCCACATAACCCAAGTATTTCCCCCAGGGCTGGGTGGAGATGTTMTTTTAATTGTGCCTGAATGCTATAGAGCAATTCCCTATAATAAAGAATATTACATTTTATTATAAGTTTAAGTAAATAGGAGAAAAGATACAGAGTTAGAAAAAAAAAACTAGAAGGTGTTTTTCACATGCCTGCCTTTTGGGGAGACCTGCAAGATTAAAAATAGCAAAATCCTTTAAGAAGAGCATCCAGGAACTCTAGAGGGTTCATCTACTTGTTTCAGTCATCGTCAAACCCAGCAACCACAAATGAATTATGCACCRTTCCTCAAATCCCAGTGTCATGTTCTTGTGTACTACTGTGTTATTTGCATATTAATTGTCTCCCAACTGAAATGTGGTTGAGTTTGTTTGAAATGTTTCCTTTCATTTTTTTTTTCTTCTGATGAACATCCATTATCTATCCATCCACCTACCCAAAAGCTCAATAAAAATGTCACTTTTAGCCAGGCACAATGGTGTACACCTATAATCCCAGTGGCTCAGGAGGCTGAGGCAGGAGGATCGAGAGTTCAAAG